ATGGATTAATTGAGAGAGAGGAGAGAGATGAGAGGAGAGATAGAGAGAGAGAGAGATAGAGAGAGAGAGATGGAGGAATGGAAGAGAGGAAGAGATAGAGAGATAGAGAGAGAGAGAGAGAGAGAGTGAGATAGTGAGAGATAGAGAGAGAGAGATAGAGATAGGATAGATATATATAGATAAGAGAGAGAGAGAGAGAGAGAGAGAGAGAGTGAGAGAGTGAGAGAGAGAGAGAGAGAGAGACGCAAATGAGACTTCCAAATGGGCCTACCTTCTTCCCGAGTTTTCCTTTCCTTTGATGCATTGGCGTGGGGGAAACAGGAATCGCCATTACTAATAATAGTTGCCTCTCTTTGCCTCGTCTTTTTTTCTTTTTTTTCTGTTTTTTTTTTTTTTGTCGTTCTCTCTTCTTTCTTTTTTCCTTATTTCTCTTTTTTCTTTTTTTTTTTTTTCTCTTCTCTTCTCCTTTCTTTTTTTTTCCTTTTTTTTCTCTCTTTTTCTCTTGCCTTTCTTTTTTTTTTCTTTCTTCTTTCTTTTTCTCTTTTTTTCTTTTTTTCTCTTTTTTTATTTTCTTTTTTATCTCGGTCTCTTTTTTCTCTTTTTCTTTTTCTTTTTGTTTCTCTTCCTCTTTCTTCTCTTTTCTTTCCCTTTCCTTTTTTTCTCCTTCTCTTTTCTTCCGTTCTTTCTTTTCTTTACTTCTTTTTCTTCTTCTTTGTTCCACCCCCCCCCCCCCCCCCCCGCCCCCCCCCCCCCCCCCCCCCCCCCCCCCCCGAGGAGCCCCCGGCCCCCCCACCACCCTCTCTCTCTTCTCTTCTCTTTTTTTTTTTATTCTTCACGTTATTTTTTCTTTTCTTTTTTCTTTTCCCTTTCTTCTTTTTTTCCTTTTTCTTTTTTCTTCTCTCTTTTCTTTTTTTTTTTTTTCCTTCTCTTTTTCTTTTTTTTCCTTTTTTTTTTTTTTTTTTGTTTTTCTTTGTCTCTTTTCTTTTCTTTTTCTCTTCTCTTTTTCTTTCCGGCCCTCCGTGGCAGCCGTACCTGCTCGACTGCTGCCCTAGGGAGAAACAACTCCGTGACACGTGATCCTTTATGTGACGTTAACATAGGATTATCCTGATCGTTTTGCGGGAGGGAATATTTTTGACTATTCAATTGATTTCAATTCAAAAACAATTTCATCACTTTCACAACGCTTGTTTATAGGTGAGAGCGATCATGCTCAGCGCGTAATTATGTATGAATATATCTATTTCTTGTATAAATATTTATTAACATGCGCAGATGCACGTGCGTCCTTACACATTTTCAATTTCCGTATGAAAATGGCACCGGCGAAAGTGTTTACACACAGAACATAATCTCGGACTGAGAGGAGCCGTCTAAATATTATCATAAGAGTCGCAGCGTTTCTCGTGGAAGGTAGCTTCGCTCATGTGTAAGTTAGTTTTCGTAAACTGTGAATGCGTGACTTGCATCACATGCAGCAGGGCAGTCCAGGCGAGCCCACAGGCAGACGTACTGGCAACCCCGCTGACGGAGAAGGCGAGCACAGTCAGGCTGACAGGCAGGGAGCCTGCGACCGCGTGTGCTTGCTTGTCTACCTGAGTGCAAGACTGACCGCAGAGGTTAGGTTACGAGCAATCATTACTCCTCCTTTTCCTCCAACATATGTGTGTGTTTATATATATATATATATATATATATATATATATATATATATATATATATATATATATATATATATTTATATAATGACCTAAAAAAAGAGACCAATATAGCATTTTTTCTAGAATCCAGGTCGCCGCGTGCCCGAGAGTGCCATGCCCCGCGGCGGCCGGAGCACACGAGCGCCCGAGAGAAGCTGCTGCGTCGCCAGCGTCAGACGCCAGCGAGTGGCCGGCGCGCCTGAACTTCGTGCCTCAGAATCGGATTAAAAGACACTAATCTTGTCCGTGGACATCGCCTCCAGAAAGAGTGAGAGGAAAGAGATAAAACAACTCTCAAATCACCTCGTTTCTGAAATAAATTAGAAATAGAACAGACACTCACACGCGCCCGCACGAGCCGTCTATCCTCGGACTCGAGACTCATGCTAAGGTCGTCCTCCATGATGGTCTCGGCCTCAAGGTCCAGCGCGCCCCCCCGCTCTCCCTCCATGAACAACACGAGGTGAGTCCGGAAAAGTCGGCTAAGTTTCCGTCTCTGGCTGAGTGCATGGCAGGTGTATCCGCATGGCTCCCTGGCGACGTCTGTGCCAGTGTCTGTGTGCATGTCTGTCTGATCGATATGTAGGTGAAATATAACAGTCCGCATTAATCCCGTCTGCTAATCCGTTCGCATTAATGCAGGAAACAGTCGCGCGACCGAGGCAGGAGAGCCAGCGGGGGTGCCGCCTCCTCCTCGACCTCAGAGGCCGCGGCCGCCTCCTCTGCCTCCTCCAGCGCCGCCGCCACCACCGCAACCACCACCTCATCCACCTCCACTGCCGCCTCCACCTGCGGATCCG